AGAGCAACGCTGTATTTCCGAGGCTTTAGATCTTTTAAGGGAGCAGAAGGCTTTATCTTTCTCCCGTGGAACGGCTGTTAGTTTTGAACTGCTGACCTTTAAGTTAGCAACCCAACTGGTAACTACTTACGCTACCAGAGCTGAAGGCAGCAGAGGTCAATGTTGTTACACAGTCCCGCGGTAACAGAGAACTACGAGTGAATACCAGCATGGACAAGCAGGCTGCAAGAGTATGCGAGGGAGTGTGGGGGTACACCCACAAATACGTAACAGTGGGACAGTGGGTATTTGTACATGAGTATTTACCTTTGTGGCAAATAGACCCGTGGATGTGGTGTAGCATGTTGTTGTTGTTGTTGTTGTTAAGTGCCATCGAGTCGATTCCGACCCATAGCGACCCTGTACAGGGTTTCCAAGGGTGTAAATTTTTACGGGAGTAGAAAGCCTCATCTTTCTCCCGCGGAGCAGCTGGTAGTTTCGAACCACTGACCTTAAGGTTCGCAGCCCAATTCGTAACCACTACGCTACCAGAGCTCCTTGTGGTGTAGCGTTGTTGTTGTTAAGTGCCGTCGAGTCGGGTCCGACCCATAGCGACCCTGTACAGGGTTTCCGAGGGTGTAAATCTTTACGGGAGTAGAAAGCCTCATCTTTCTCCCGCGGAGCGGCTGGTAGTTTCGAACCGCTGACCTTAAGGTTCGCAGCCCGATTCGTAACCACTACGCTACCAGATGAAAGACGTGGTGTAGCATACAGGGAGCAAAATGATAAATACTTCAAACAGAACCAAATACCTTGAGAGAATGAGTCATGGGGCCGAGGGACAACAAGGTCAGAGGGCATAACAGAAAAACACTAATTAACAAAGCCGGTGGTCTACACCCTACTTTGGTGAGCAGTAGTCTAAGGTGCCATTGTTGTCTCTCCCTGGCTGGAGGGCAAAAAAGTAAAAAACATTTCTCACTGAAAAGATCAATGTATAGAAAACACCAACTCACAGCAACCCCGTATAGGGTTTGAAGCAGCAACCTTTAGGTTAGCAGTCCAGTGTTTATCCTACAGCACCACGCCAAGACTCCAGTAAACATGGGTAGTGAAGGCACAAGAATGGAGGTTTGAACACCAAGGGCCAGCCTAGCCAGTCCTTTTAACAGGGCCTGGCTGCCACCAGACCACCATGCCATCCACTTGTCAGAATTCCTGAGGCCGTGTTTCTGAGAAGATGGATCAGCAGTCCTTCAGTGGCCTGAAGGTTCTGGAAGATGAGTAGCTTCTTAGGGAGCTCTGGTGGGCTTTGGGGAGCAGTAGAAAACAAGACGACATAGTAAAACAGATTATTTTTAAAAGTCCTTTGTATTATAGAACAGTGTTTCCAAATTACAGGTGGCAATGCATTTTTATAAACTCAGCTCAAGGAGTCACAGCCAGCATTAAAATAAAATCAGGACCACCATGTATAAGAAGGGTACAGTAAAAACTTGTCTTGGTAGACTTCTTGTGTCTGGACTGCGCTTCAGTGTAGACGTCCTGTGAAGACACAAGCCTTCATCCACTGCTGCAGGAACGTAACATGCCGTAAGCCGCTGAGAAAAAGTCCAGCAGCGTCTCAAAAAACTGACCACAGAACCACGACGCAGCACTTCTCACAAGAGTCAGAAAGTGGAAACAAGCAAGATGTCCATCAACAGATGGTGGACCAACCCTTATGTGCCCCCCCCACCCCCACAGTGGAGTATCACACAGCCATAGAGAAATGAGACATCCATGAAACGTCAGCTACAAAAGGTCACGTATCAGATGACCTCAATTATATGAAATCACAAATATATAGAAATCAAAGATGAGGGAGTTTTGGTTTGGGGGGCATTTGAGTTTGTTAAAGGTAGTTGGAGGCATGTGCTACATAAATGAAAAATGCAATTAATGTCACTGAATTGTAAACGTGGAGGTTGTGTTGGTGTTAGTTTTACCACAATCTTAAAACAGTCATAAGCATATTTATCATCAGTTACAGCCAAATGTCTGAAAGCCACTGCCTTCTAATATTGGAGGCCGGAGGCTGCTCTGCACTCACCCCAAGGTGGAGGTGACCCTCTAAGACTGGGGAAGAGTAACAATACGCTAAAGTTAATGAATATGCACAGAAGTTGGAAAATCCAGATCAGGGAGACCAATGAAAACGTCAAAATAAGTAGGTGTAGGGAACGTGTGGAAGGGTGGCTCTAATCAGCCAGTAGGGATGAGCGGGTTGCACAGTACCTAGGGGAGGCAGGGCAGCTTTAGGTTGACAGCGTCAAATGGAACGTACGAAGGTCTAGTCCTACACTGTGACCTCAAAAGAAAAGGTCACACAACTGCTTTCATTTGGCCACTTTCCATGACACAGTATTATTTCCTTCAGCTTCATACAGCGCTTTCAAGTTATGCTTTGTCATCAACCAAATTAAGAATTTTAAAAGCATATAAATCACACTTTGTTAAGCACTGTCGAGTCAGTTCCAACTCATAGCGACCCTATATAAGGTTTCCAAGGAGTGGCTGGTGGGTTTGAACTGTCGATCTTGCGACCTTATCTATTCTACAGCGACAGCGCCATGCCGGGGGCTCCATAAATCCTACTAAAGGAATAGAATCCATTTCTTAGCACACCTACTCATTTATCCTCTACATATTTCACGCTGACAAGAGTCAAAACCAAGCTACCTGACCATTTTGACACTAACCTAGGGCTTGCATCCCCAGAGCCACCAGTCTCTCCAGGCCTCTTGCCTGTCCCATCCCCACCACAGCAGGCAACACTTGTAGTTTATGCAAAAGAGCTAACCAGAGGTGAAGGGTCCCTAAGGGTCCCAGGGGACCCTTAAGTGCCCTGGAGGGACCAGGGTGGAGGGTGCTGGGGGTAAAGGCAGGGCCTGGGGCCTGCAGCAGAAGCCAGCCACCCCCTCTCCTCCTTGGCCTTAGTCTCTGGGCTCTCAGCTTCAGCTTCCAAGCCCTTCAAGACTAGAAGGGCAGCACTCTTTTCAAGAGCCCCCTCCCCTACCTACAGGAAGGCACAGGCAGCAACCCCATGGACCCAGACCTCCAGTGCCACCAACTGTGCCTCTAGTCCAGCTGCTGGGCCCCGCGTCTACCAGAACATCTGCCTCAACAGCAGGGCTTTAGGATCCAGAGCACAGTGAAACCGGGGTTACAGCAGTTCTGAGGGGGACCACCTCTGTGCATTCCTCCTGGCATTGACTTGATCTTATTTGGCATAATGACTTGCTCTTCGGAACCTAACCAGGCAGAAAGTGAGGAGTGGGTGTAGGTCATGATTTACCACCCCAAGGGGTTTGCTTTGATTTAGCACTTGGTGAATAGGCACAAAAGGGTCTGTCCTCTGACTCTACGCGTGCAGGTACCGTGATTTCATCCTACTGCACCCACAGTACTAAGGAGGGATGCCGCTGGCTGCAGCATAGCCCAGGCCCAACCACAGTGAACTTACACGGCTGGCTCACGGACGGGCCTGTTGTGGCAGCAAAGGGGCATGAGGGAGATGGCAGAACTCCAACGATCACTTTATCCAGGCCCGAATCCGCAACCTCCATCAGAGCAGGCATAATTAAGCACGGCAGTGTGGATCTCAAGGTAAAATGTCGTCCCCAACAGACCCTTGATAAAGGGGACTGTGCTTTTACACAAGCTTTTTAAGTAGTAAATTATATTAATTACCAACATTTACAAACAACCGCCATGGAAGGTTCTAAATCGGATTTATTAGGCAGCACAGAAACAACAGGTGAGAGAGACTATGTTACAAAAGGAGCTCAGGCTGGCTCAGAAAGAGCATGGGGCCAGCTGAGGGGTGAGGGAGAGGAGACGAGTCTTCAGACCACTGCACAGGAACCCAAAGACCCCTGATCTAAACAAAGTTAAGAACGAAATGCTACACAGACCAGCTTCTTTGAAGACAGAAAGCCACAAACTAAACCAACGTGTCCACAATGTCTATAGCACATCCCTCAGGGGTAAGCGTATATTTGTGGCAAGTAAGCAAAGCTTCCATAAAGAGGTCACTTTCAGGGGAGGATTAGGTAGACTTGCAATGAAATGACATTTCAAAAGACGCATTCACAAGTACATTTTCACTGAAATAAAGAAATACAAATAAGACACGTTTGTCTAGATCAAAAGCATTTTTTGAAACACCATGGATAAATAAATCTCACTAAAGACCACGTCCTATTTAGTGACAAACAATTTGCAAATAATAAATGAAAAAGAAAGTGTTTCATCATAAACATATGATCTGGAACTGCCTCCAGCAGGCCAAGCTAAGTTTGTGTTCTGCTTTAGGGCATTACATTGAAACGAATCTCATTCTCACAATCATTTTTTTCTTCTTCTTAACCTTAATCATCAACGGCTGGGCAACCGAAATGGACATCAGAACTATATAAATGTCAGAGAAATATGTAAACCTCATTAATGTTTCCAAAAATTCATTTAGAGAGAGAAACAGGTCCAAATAGATGCCTGTCTAAATGTACTGCAATTACGTTACAATTATTTTCCAAATACACAAATAAGCTCTGTCTTTTCTCAGTTCATTACTGACTCAAACAATTTGCCCTTCTGGGATCAATTGTTTGCTAATAAATAATTGTTTACAGTCACAGAATGATGTTAGGAGGTTTTCTTATTAGTTTTCCTTCTGCACCCTAATAAGATTGAAAACTAACAGATTCCCAAGAGTCTAACCTTAACCTCGCTTTGTTTAACAGCCCAGGAAATGATGAACCATCTGCTTCAGAAAATAATGGACGGCCAGGAGGAAATCTTGTTTAATTGTAGATTAACCTCCTCGTGAGGCAGTCTGAAGCAGTTCAGAATTAGCAACGAAAGCCAGCAAGAGACACAAACGGGGCTTCTTTCTCTACCAGTTGTGGTCCAGAAAGCATATAAAGAGATTGCTATTACCTATTATTTATTTACAAACATACACCGCTACAGTGGAAACCAAAATCACCAAGGTCAAATTGATTCTCCACAGCGCACTCACTGCCCTCCCATTCTGTTTGTCCAAATACCTTGAACGCAGCCAACCATCAAGCTATCTCATGTACTCAAGCAAGTGTTTAAAAAAAAAACAAGTCCATAAAAGCCTCTTTTCCATTATTTTCAGGTTCTTATAACATTCCAATGAGTATTCTTCCCTGGGTTGTTAAAAGTACTAAATCCAGCACTGGGGAGGAGGACCAGTTTTATTATCACCAACATGGCACTTCGAGAAGTCAAATCTCATCAAGTACAGGGTGACCTACAAGTTCAAAAGAAAAAGAACAGGATGAGATCAAAATGGCCATCCAGGATGGAGACCACCAGTAATTGATTAAATGCAAACACAGCCTTCTACGGAACAGGCTTCCCACGCTAAATCTTCTCTAACATCAAATCTGTGAGGGTGTCGGCTAAGAGTATTTCAGACTCTGCCACCTCTCAGGCACTCAGCCAGTTCAGCACGGGTACCATACCAATTTCAATTCAGATAAGCAGAGAACCCTGAAAACATCCTGGGATTCCATGCACATTTACTACGGCTGTCCCCTGAGGGCCTGGTGACAGAGGGAGAGTGAATAGGACACAAAGACATTTGGGATAGGTACTTTATGGTTTAACACGCCAAGTTATCAGTTTTCCTTTCAGCCCCGTGCAAGATAAGTCCAAGCACTGCCCTGTTGGTACCAAAAACTGTAAATGGTTCCTCTCAGTCGACAGTTACAACGAAGAGCCAAGGACATCTATGAACATTTCTAAGGGAAGGAAATTTGCTATTCTAAAGGCAAAGCCCTATCACTCTGGTTTCCAATAAGACCTGAAGGTCATTCACATTGTATACATATTAGAGAAATAACCTCTGTGGAGGGGAAGGATTTTTGGCTATTCAAATTCTTAAATATCTTAAATAGAATTTGCTCAAATAAATTATTCTTGAATTCTTCAACTTAATTTTGAAGCAATGAGCTAGTAATAACTCCAGAGATTCAAATAACTGTCCTATTCAAGAAGAATGAGAGTTTGACATTCTTCTCTACAAAACAACTGGGCACAATTTTATCCATGAGACGTCTATCAACCTACGGATATTGAAAGCTTGGGAGAAGAAGATAAAATCAACTTCAGCCCTACAGTCAGCCCTCATATCGAGCAGGCATCAACAGTGCTATTCATGAATTTAGAAAAATTAATAAATCCTGGGTTGAATGCAAGAAAAGGCTCAAATATGGGTGAAGCACACTCACTTGGGTTTGGTTTCTGCATCTGTCACTTGGAGAATGAAGATGCCATCTTCAGGATGCTCTGTGTCATCCATCTCATACATGTACGATGACGCAATAGCCAGCGTCGTCCCGTCGTTACTGAAGGCGAGGGAGGCAATGCTGGTGGGGTAACGGTGGAACTGGCAAAGTCGCTTCTTGTTAAATGGGTCCCATATATTTACAAAGCCATCAGAACCACCTGCAGGTTGTTTGAAAATAAGTTTAAAGGGTTCTTAATACCAGGAACAGAAATAGTCATGACCTCAACAGTTGTCTTAAGGTTCTAGAAGTTACATTTCCCCCACTTTTCACAAAATACTATTAAAAAGTACAATTTTTAAATGTTGATTTTGCCTCAGATCTGTTAGTAGAGCAAATGTCCTATTGGTAACAAAATGACAACGTAAGCTAGCATGTCCTACTTCACCTGTGGCAAACGTGTTGTGGATGTTATGGAAGGAGATGGCATTGACTGGGTAAATCTGCTCAATGTTATTCTCTTTCAGCCGGTGGCATTTGAAGGCATACTTCTTCTTCTGTACTTCAGGGCTTGGGTCCAAGTACTCAACAGCCACCCGACCTTCAATGGAGCTTAAAACGTAACCCTACCAGGAGGGAATCAAAGAAGGGCTTCTAAACTTATGAAGGCACTACATTCACAAATCCAGCTTAAACAGAAAAAGACGATTACTTCAAACAGGAAACGAAATTATGACAAGGTTTGAACAACATTTTATATGCTGTACTAACATAGTTATCACCCTTCCAAGAATGTAATCCTCTGTTTCAAACAGACACATACAGCTATGGTTACTTGCTTTTTTCATGATACCAGTGCCTTGCATGTTTTAACCAATCATTTCTATGTATTTTGTCCATCAAACATTTATTTGTTGTTCTAGTCAAAATGAGATGCAACTATTTTTTTTGTTTTGTTCTACAGCTCTTCATCTCTGCAAGTACAGGAAGAATGGTCTCCTTCATTGGGAAGGTCATCATTAATCCAAACTTAAAAAGTTAAAAACCACTTCTACCAGCTCCTTCATCTGCCTCTTGTATCTAAGCACGAGTGTGGGAGACTTTCAGGAAGTCAAACATGATTTACAATTTCACACCTTTTCTCGTTTTTTCTTGAAATAATATACCAAAGTAAGAGAGAAGGTAAATGTGAAGTTTCTTTCTTGTTTTTAAATCCTTCAAGGTATGAAATAGGTATATCCCTGTAAAAGTGCTTATGGAGCAAAAAAAAATAGAGAGAGAGAAAGAAATCAGCAACACCCTACTTTTGAGTTGTTCATTCATTCTAAACTGAAGAGAGCCTGTAAGATAGTTTAGACATAAAGACTTAATTAAAATGTAAGCCTAATCAAATTTTTCAACCTCAAAAGTCTCAAGTAACAACAATTTCTTATCTTATAAAGAGAAATTTATAATTTCCTAAAAGGTAACTGTTATCATTTTAGGTACTGGCCTTTTAAAGACAAGGGTAAAGAAAATGATTTCCAATCTCTTCACTGCTTCAAGTTTCACAACCACCAAAGGTTAGCCACAGGTTTCCCAAGCAATCTGGTGATTGTCACTTTACTCTTGCAAAATTCCTACACCTCTCCCTTAGAACCTTAAGGATTGGGGGGGTGAGGGGGGGCAGGCAGGGTGAGTGGCTCACTAATAAACAGGCTAATGATGATACATGGGGCCCACCATGTACCTCAAGAGCTGCACCACTATATAAGGAGGCAGCCTCGCTAACCTTAACAGTACTGTTTAAAAATAAATATTAAAACATCTGCTGTCAGACTGGTGAAAAAAATCTGATAAGTATGAGGGTTACAAGGAGAAAAGAAAGAAAAAAAAAAAAAAGCAAGATCCATCAGTGTGAAGTTCCATATTTAAATTTGCATTCACTTGTCTGTAAAGTGACATTATCTACAAAACTGTTCGATTACCGTCTATTTGTCAAGCACCCTGGACCAGGAACCAACAGGGGAACAGCAAGGACAAGGCCTCTATTCACACCACTAGGCAATCCCAGGCAAATGACTTAGCCTCTCTGAACAGCCAAGTCATTGCTAAAATGGAATTAACACACAGTCTTTTAACAAAAGGCTACTGGAAATATGAAGTGAGCATTATCTAAAAGAACTTTGTCAATTCAAAACCAAAACAAAACATGGCCAAATCATTGCTATTTTCAAATTGCAGAAGAGGTGAAAAAAGAGACCGTCCACTGGTACCTGCTTGTTAGGAAAGGCGCGTATGCAGCGCGTCTGGTACTTCAGGCTGGACTCACGCCGCTGCTGCACGTAGCCCATGTTCCTTAAGTCCCATACCAGCACTCTGCGGCCTGCCGTCCCCACAATCAGTCGGTCCCCAGACACTGAGAGAGTGTACACCTTTTAAAAGAGATCAAAACTTGCTAAAAATCATTTACTAAATGGCTAGAAAGGACATTTTGTATCAAAGTAATGGGCTTCGAATCATAAGAACTGTTTGAAAAAGTTTAACTGATTGGATTCTCAAATGTGGGAATCCATTTGCATACCAGTTACTCAAATCAAGTAATTCACACAAAACAGAGAGCCCAGGAAGCCCCTAATATTTTACCAATTATACATGTCATAATTCATTCAGTGAAGGTGCTACTGATACTGAAGACTTCCGTTTTGTTTGTTACCACAACAAATTATTGAATTAACTTTTCCAGCCTTCTTGTTTTATTCAGAGAGAGTGAGTATTACAAAAACAATCAAAAGGAGATAAAGTAAAATCATGATTCATGATTTCCAATGGGCTTCAGGCTTTTCATAAAGAAAGCATTTTGGAAGTTAGCTTTCTACGAGTACCTCGGGAAGGAGATTTCATTTGGCTGTCACACTCAGTAAGTAGGCCTTTGTAGGAAGAGGGAGGGAGCCATCCTTAATGAGCTGCCTACTTGTGCTTAGTGGCATATGAACTCAAATTAAAAGGCAGGGAGAGTGGTCTGCCATATGACAAGGCGAATTCTTCTGCCCTGATGTCAGATAAACTCAAGATAGGAAACTAACTGTTAGGGAAAAATATTGTAGCCTTTTCTCCCCTGAAATGTATCTATCTTTCCCACTTATAATACCTTTTTCAACATTAAACAAGTTTCACAAAAATTTCTTTCTAGCAAATTATGAAGTTTCCTGAAATCAACATTTAAAGTGGTTTATTTTCAAATGTAACACTATTTAGGGTTCAAATTAGTTAACACATTCGTAAAAACAGTGACAACAGCAACTTTCCTGATAGTAAATCATTTTTAAGCCTAGACTTCAGATACACAACCGTATTCTGCATATAACTTTCAATTAAAAAGCAACTTGTTCAATCTGAGCTCATAGACTGAAACCTGAAGAATCCAGATAAAAATTGGAAAGAGGCCCCATGGCATTAAACCATCTGGCAAATAATCTCTACAATGCTAACTACACAATACAAAACGAAGAGCCAAGCAGGGACCCAATAATATCGCCAATCCAGTCTTAAAATACAACAAATTTGACCTTGAAAACCAAGGAATTCAATGGTTCAAAACAATCAATATATGTGGCTTTCAATATAAGATTTGCCATCCTTTACTTAGAAACCAACGTGTTTACAGTCCTATGAAAATGAATCCAACGTGTGTGAAGTACCAAACCTAAAAAATACAGAATCAGGAAGAAATCAGTTTATAATGGTACAATTGTATCAGGAATTTGATCTTAAATCTTTACTATACAGGTGACACACCAGATTCTAGCAGGGCTTTCTGGCCCCCCGGATCGTAAATCAAGTGAAAACACTGTCATGCTACTGACTAGGTCTATACATTTATCAAGGAAAGTATGAAAAAAAGTGACATAATGAACCTTGCTGAACCAATAAGCAGCTTGATTCAGTGTGGCTGTCCATTATATGACACGCTGTCAGCAATTTATCACAGCTCTTAACATGCTACAGACAGCCATAAATCAAATCTAGAAACAATGCAATTATTTTATTCTGAACAAAGGTCTTGCCAGGAGTAGATTCAACTGTGATGTGACAAAAATAATGGCTCTTTGGATGCACTGCAGTGTGTGATGGTGGCTGAGAAGGCCTGAATGGTGTATTTACCTCAAGGAAACCCTCAAGTGAGGGATACCTTTAAACTGTGAAAACAATCAATCTTTCAAATTAACTACCAGCTGATAAGTCTGATGAGGATACAGCAAGAATGTTCAATTACACTTTCATCATAGAGATCAAAAAGGTTAGAATCATACAAGGTGTTTCGGGTTTTAAGATGCTTCGTTCACTAGCGCCTACAAACGACATCTGTCAAGTATATAATGTATACACAGAAAAAAATCAAGGAACACAGAATTCCCTTCTCATAGAACTTAAAACTAAAGCTATTTCATTTCACCCCAAAGCAAATGAAACCTCAGGTCATAAATGAAAAGGGGTCACAAGTCATCACGTTCTCTGGACAAAGCAGATCAAATCTACCCGAAGACAATCCCGAGTCTTCGATAAATGGCATTTTTAAGTAGGCAATGAGTTGTTTCTTAGTGCTACAATGTAAAGCATTACATTTGTTGTTGTTGTTAAGTGCTGTCAAATCAGTTCCCACTCATAGTGTCCCTGGTAAAGGGTTTCCAAGGCTATAAATCTTTGCGGGAACAGAAAACCCCATCTGTCTCTCTCGGAGTGGGCTCATGTGGTTTGTAGCCGTGGTTACTCTAGAAAGCCACCGCATTCCCCATTAGCAATCCATATGCGCGGATTTATGGATACCTAATGCTGGTATGGCGCTGTGAGTTAGGCGCCAGACTGCACAGCCGTTTGAACTGCAAGGTCGGTGGTTCAAGCTCACCAGCTGCTCCTCAGAACCCTGTACAGGGTCACTATGGGTTGGAACCGACTCGATGGCACTTAACAACAACAATGCTCTCCAATCCAAGAGTGACAAGTGATAGTGACTAAAGTTATTCACAAGATCACTATGTGCGGGAGCCAACTCAATGACAACAAAATTCCAAAGTTAATTCTCCTTTACATTGTATTTGTTATTAAATAGATGCTTCATCAAATTGCCTCTAAATTCAGCATTATTATCATGAAACATACACCAACTCAAAGCCCCCTAAGAACCAGAATTCCTGTTACTATAAAGTGCTTACCTTTTCGGGCTGAGAAAAGGTTCCAGCATTACAAGGAGTTCGAGGATCCCACAATTTCACTGTCTGATCCCAACTTCCAGTAACCATCACATTCACTTCTGGACAGTATTCAACACACCTGATAGGTGCATCATGGGTCCCAACAAGATTTTCTATAGAAGGAAAAAGAAAAAAACCAACATCTCATTTTATATCTCTACTAGCCAAAGGTTCCACAAATAAACAATGGAAGGAAACATTCACTCGACTGTAATGAACCAGCTACACCCAGTGCCACAGAAATGTCTGCAGGTGCAAGTCTTTCACAACGGCAGACGTCTGTCCATTCACCTGTCTACACATTGCAGCACACTGCGTGCCACCTTCGAAGGTGGCCATGAATCTGAGGCTACATTAAACTGGTGGCCTGCCTAGTATGTTCTCCTCTGCAGTCTCAATTCCTTAGAAGCTGGAACGCAGTATAATTCTGTCCCTCTGACTGTACCTAGAGCAAGGTTGAGTGTACAGCAGGTGCTCAAGGAATACCTGTTAAATGAGCAAATGAGTAAAGAACATTGTTCCTCTAGGTCTTATGTTTATAAGCAACTGATTTACATGGTTACAGGATGTACTGAGGCCAGGGAATGAGGAAAGCACAGAGGTCTTCTTACACTGGGGTTTCTCGATGGGTCCTACTTCAACCTCAACTCCTCACACTATCCCATTCATTCATCCATTCAACTAATATCATTAAGTGTCTACAAGGTGCCACTAGCTGGGCTACACACCAGGGATCCAACAATGAACAACGTTAAGCTCCAGACTCTCAAGCAGGAAAGGGGGCTGGTGAAACATACAAATTGTGAAGTTTGGCAATGAGCTTCTGGGAATAAGCTGCCAAATCCCTAAATGATGGTGGGTCATATCAAAACTCTTTTATGTGCTTTCCAGTGGCTCTCCACTCCCCAGGTTTCCAGACAAATAGGACCTAACCCTACACACTTATTACACAGGTGAGGCCGTGAGCAAACCAAATCAAGCCCCTGTGGTTATAAATTACAATATAAAGCGTCTTCCTACAGAAGCTTCTTTTGATTTGACACGGGGTTTTTGGTTTGTTTTTTGACAAAATGTTGTACCCATCCATGCCTCCATCTGTTGTCCATCTCATCCTCTGTCCCGTCAGATCTCTGTATTCTACAACCTCCTTCAAATACTTCCCTGTCTGAAATAGGCACATGCCAAAACACAAAACAGAAAGAGGCTCAGCTAGAGATTGTGTTCGATTGCAATCTCTACCCTAAACTCTTCATAAAATCGCAGCTAAGTCATTTCATATGCAGACCTCTAAGAAATTACTTAACTAAAATGTGTCACCCTGTTCATTACTCCATATAAACCAAATGGCAAAGACTTTACTACAAGCAAACACACCAACAGAATACAGCACCTCAACAAGATGGCTTTACAGTGTTGGGGACTCCAAATAAGAACAAAAGAGAAGAAACAATAAACCAAAAGACCTGCCTTTCTCAGGGGAAACTACGTCAGCTTTGGAAAAGAGGGCTTGGAGCCATCAGCACAGTGCTGTTAAGTCCTAATGGAGCAGACCACTGTGGAAGCCAGTGAACTTCCAAGGTCAAGGTTGAATGCTCAAATGCTAACTCAGGTCACACTTAAGACAGAGACCACAATGAACTTCACTACAATACGAGGTGGCTTCCAGAAATTCGTGGAAAAATTCCATTATCTTTCGGTTCTATTTTTTCCCTGAACTTTTTGAGACCCCCTTGTATAGACGCCTGTGTTCATATGTATGTATGTGGTGGTTACTGTTTTTAAGTGCCATCAAGTCAGTTCCCACTGAGTCATTTCCATGGAGCAACTGGTGGTTTGAAGAGCCTACCTACGGTTAACAATCCAGTAATTACCCTACAGTGTCACATCAAGACTCTAACTTAACGGTGACTATTTAAAACTTTAAAGCCCTACATTCAAGCTACATCTATCTGGCTAAGCAATTTAGGAACAACCCTTCAAACCCTAGAAACTACACAAAAGACACCAATAAACTGGCAACACTGTGGTCATATTTAGATTTACCTTGATCCGTATTCAAATCATGCATTTTCAGTTGATGATCTAAACCCCCACTCCAGGCATGAGTTGGATCCTAGAAAATAAACATTTCCTATCATTTTAAACTTTAAAAAAAAAAGACGTTTTAAAACCCTTATTTCTACAGCTAATTATCTCGTTTATGTACTGACTGTGGGCTCAATTATCCATTGCTGTCGTTGTTGTTAAGTGATATCAAGTTGATTCCTACCCATAGGATTTCCTAGGAGCAGATGGTGAGCTTGAACCACCGACCTTGCAGTTCACACAACTCTGCAGTCTGAGGCATTAGGCCACAGCACCACCCGAGGACTCCTAATTAGCCATTGGAAACGTACAAAACACCACAAAAATTAAGAGATGACAAAGGTGACCAGTCAGCTATGTGGGGGTCTGGTTCTACCAGGCTCGCACTAAGCTCCTAAGGACCCTAGCAGGCAGAATACAACAGCTTCTTGGGGCTTCCCAGGCTGTGAAGCTTTAGAGAGACAGGTCTCCTGGGGCAGGCTGCTGGTGGGTTTGAACCACTGACCTTGCGCTAACAGCCCATCGCTTGCACCATGAGGATGCAAGCCAAAAGGGTGTTCTTTCTCCACCTTCCTTGGAGGGCTGCCTGCCACATTTCCTACCCAAGTGTCCCCTCTACAGAGAGTGCGCAGGGCAGCTCTTTGGGCCCGACTTGAAAGGGGAAACTGAGTCTCCGGCACTCCCTGGATTTGCCCGCCCCCACCCCGGCCTGCGGTCGGAAGGCACGTACGTAGAAGGCGCAGTCCAGAACGGCGCCCGTGTGTTGATACTTGAGCCGCATGGAGTTGGCGGGCACATCGTAGAGGCGCACCGACGTGTCCCAGGAGGACACCAGCAGGAACTGGGAGGTGTTGGGGCTGAACTTCACCGAGGAGATGCCATCCTCCGGCGGCTGGTTCAGCTTGAACTCGTTCGATCCGGTCATCTACGGAACAGAAGCGGGGCCCAGGGTCGGGGCAGTGGGGCAACGGATCCACCGGGGAGGAACCCCGAGAACCAGGAGGCAGGTCTCCGCGCTTGCACAGACCCTGCGCGCCCCCACGGCCGCTCCCCAGCTCCCAACCGGCCAGCTCGGTCGCCCCTGCCCCCATGGGGCCATCTCGGCCGCGCCACTGGCCCCTCCTCCCCACCAGCGAGGCCCGTCGCCCGGCCGCGGCAGGAGGCGGACGAAGAAGGCCGTGCAGGAGTTAACGGCTCCCTCGAGGAGGGCTCCGCCGGCTCCGGGTCCGGAAGCCTCCCGGAAAGTCGTTCCTACGTCCACAACCTCGCTCCCTACCTTGCGCGCCCCTCAAAAGAAACGCCACGGCCGTTCCCGCCGCCTCGACACTCTCCGAGCACTTGCAGGCAAGGCGAAAGAGGCGGAGAGGAAGCTCCAGCGGGAGCCCGTCATTGGCTGATTTCAAACGCCAACGTCTCACTCTGGACAACCGATTGGTCCGCTCGGCGCCTGCCGTCAGTCAACCCAGTCATCCTGTTCCGGCTCAAAGGGAAGCCACGGTTCTTCCGATCACGTGGCCTCGCTCTCTTCCAGCGTGAGGCCCCCGCGCGGCGTGGACGGGATAGAAACTACAACTCCCAGCGAGCATCGCACCAAGGCTGCGCTCGCGTCTTCTCCCGCCGACGTGCGGTTCGCTGGGAGATGTAGTCTCACTGAGCCGACGCCCTGCCTGTTTTCTGACTAGTAAGTGGGAAAGGTGCTCTTTCTAGCTCATCTCGTGGCGCTCTCTCAGTGTCAGTCTTGCACAAGAATCCCATTTTAATCTGTACTCCTACAGAGCGCATGATTTTAACCAGAATTGGAGTGAGAAAGGAAACATCGGTTCCAATCCACTAAATTATTTTGTCCTAATTTTTTCCCAGTTCCCTGAACTAGGCAGGGTCTTATATTTACCATTGTCTTAAGTTCCAGTGAACTCACAGAAATGCATACTTGTTTACATTATGGTTTCTCTCTCCATTTCAATGTCCACTGTGTGCTGACCCTGGTGAGAGGTTCTTGGGTGAAACATTCAATAGGCTTATCCTTATCCCTCAGGAGCTCGCGTCCACAAGGCTGGACAGACTAGGAAGCCAACAATTACGCTGCAGTGTGTTAAGGCTCAAACATCTTTTAAAGACATGTCTATGTAGGGTCCTAAAATAACAGCTACACGTCCACCGCACCCACTATTCCCCCAGAACTGCTGTTTCATTGTGTTCCATTTGCTGTTTCGTGAATCTTCTGGAAACACAAGGATCAAGAAAATTGCTCCAGTAATGAGAAGTGATGTGAGCGTCATGAAAGGAAACCAATATTTAATTTCTCACAGGGATACAGTGACTCTCAAAGGTAAAAGGTTCGCTGCAAATTTTCAATACGCTCTATGTTAGAAGTCTAGTTTTACTGCCTTTTATGAAGGAAAAAAATCTTATTATTTGATTTTGTCATTTGTGGGAGGAAATTGTTGGAGTTAAGTGCTCAACTTTTAAGGTACACCAAGAAAAAATGTTATTGATCCTTATGCATTCATACTCCCTGAATTGGGTGCATTTCTTTTTATGATTCCTGCCACAATAAACACACACAACATCCCTTCTGCCCCTTGCATTGATGATCTTACTGCCAAAAAAAAAAAAGATTCTTGTCTTCTCTTTTCCCTGGTCCTCATACTTGGCTCTCTAGCTCTTCTTTCAACAAGTTAATGGCTAAATTCAGATTTTAAAAGAAAGGGGGGAAAGCCATGCTTTGCCTCCATTTTAACTTTGACTAAATAATTTTATCTCTTGACTTATTTGGTTCCCTCTCCCCGTTGTTTGGTTAATTCTATTAGCGTTTGGAGTTTGGAGATTCTGAGCATGAATTATCCGCTAATAAAATCTAAGTGTATTTCATTATCCAGTGTGTGTCTGATTCAGGTCCCTCTGGGCATACAGTTACAGTCAGACTCGATTTGAGTTTTAGGAAACGTCAATCTTTTAAATCCAGTTTGGAGCTTAAAAGAAGCCTGATGATTTTGTTGATTATTCAAATGAATTGATAGTCTTGAGATAGGAAATCTGACAACAATGGAGTTTTAAATAACATTTTAAATAATCCAAATGCAAGCTCTATGTTATTGTTGTGCTAATACTTAGGTACCTTATGAGAGGAATTTCTACCACTAATTACGCTGCTGGATCACCTTTGATTGTTAATTTCTGGGTTTGGAAAAAGAGTCAAATATACACTTTATGACAGAGTCGAGGTCATTCCCTAAAATCTTAAGGGCAAAATCATTTTACCCTTAAGTGCTTTGGCTGACATTGACTAGAGGAAATTATTTCCAGTAATAAAAGTAAACATAGGAAGAGATTAATGACCCAGGATTGTTAAAACCATCATCTCTTGTAAAAACAAATCTATTGAAATGCACACAAAAATGGTATGAGTGGAATATTCCTCTACAAGCAATTCTGCAGATACAATTTGGTTATTTCTGCATGGATTTCTTAGGAGTTTAATTATAAAGAGATCAGTTGGAATCAGAGAACTTAAGTGAAATAAAATATGTGTACATTATAAATCAGAAGAAAACGGATATTTTCTCTTTCTGACTATTCAATATTTAGCATAGTATTCAGCATGTACTAGGGACCAGTAGATACGTATTGAATTGTACTAAGTGGAAATGAACTTAATGCAATTGAATTAGCTTAGTATTGGCAGAGGTGTTTTGGGGTAACATCCTTCTGACATCACCTCGGAATAAACTGTGATTCTTTATGAACTCAAATGCGAGAAGAAAAAAAATAGTATCACAAGATAAACAAAATCAGATGGGATATTTTTAGCGAGGCATGTTAGACAAAACACTGAGGGTGTAGGACAGTTTTCAGATAGCCTATACATTTTTACAAAATGCTAGCTAATGAATGGCATAGTGCTGCGGGTTAATGCGCTGGACCGCAAGGTCGGCTTGAACCGCAAAGTCGGCGGTTCAAGCTTACCAGCCGCTCCCTACACCCTATACGGGGTCGCTATGAGTCGGAAACGACTCGGCGGCCCTTAACAACAACAGCTCAAAGAGGCAAGTTTGTCAGGTGTATGTGTTCCTTCTAGTTGTAGAGACCGGGCCTCAGAATGTCGGACTCCTCACGGGGCCCGAAGTCAGGGTCGCAGAACCATGGACCTACTCTGAGCTCAAGTTTCCTTTTTCCATGTTTTACAAAGGAACTGGTGGCCGCTATCTCTCAGCCAGGAGAGCCTGCGATTTGCATACACTCGCGCGCCTGCTCTCCGGGCTGGGAGCAGTGGCAGGTGTGGAGACACGAGATCTGTGAGCGCCCTAGCCGAGCTTCACGGTTCCATTCAGAGCAAACCGCAGCACATTTGCTGGAGATTCGGCCATTTCGCCGTGCACATTGCAAACTATTAGCAAAAGAATTGGGGGAGGCGCCTTGGACTACCGCTCCCATTTTGTCTAGTCTTTGGCCTCTGATCCCTCCTCCACCGAAACGCTGCCTTTCCACTCAAGTTCCCGCGTCGCGCGGGGCGTGCACCTCTGCCACGGTTCAGGACCCGTGCGCTGCTGCAAAGAGCTGGTCGCACCTGGCTCTGGGCGAGCAAAGCGGCGCTTTATTCCGCTCCAGCAGCGCCGCTCCGCAAGCCTGCGTCCTCCAACAGGAAGCCCCGCGGCGCCGGTTGATCAAGTAGCAGCGCGCTCTGCTACGGCCAAGTCCATGGCGATCCCAGAAGTGGGAAGATGCTGCTCGAGTCGGCCCGGGCTTGTTTGGGGAGGCAGCGGTTTCCAGTGAGGCCTGCTTCTCGCCCCTAAACCGTCTCGGTGTGGGCTCCGGAACGGCTCTGTGTGCGCCACAAACTCCGCCAGGACTCGGCTCCAGGGTATTGGAGGGGTAGCGGGGGTAGAGAGGAAAGAGGCTCCAGCCACGTGCCCCCTGAGACTCCGCAAAGGTCCCGACCTTTAAACCGTGGCCCTGGCTCCACCCTCTTCCTCAGGGAGCGAGCCCAACTTTTCCCCGGAGGCAATGACCTGCAAACCCTTCCACGGAAAAACGAGAAAACCTTTGCGCAACAGCACACACCTCAATCAAGCCCACCAAAGTTAGCAACGATGTTTAATATGTTGTTGTTTTTTTTTTTTTAACTCCTCTTTAAAAATATTTACAGATCTAAAATCTCTCCTTTCGCTCTCACCCATCCTGGGGATACGGGAAACGAAAAAAGGCGATTAGATCGTTTTTCAAAGCCTCCGGGGACTGGCTTGACAAAGCGTGTGTGCATGTACATAAATATACAGGTGTATATATGGGGCGTGGTGGAAGATGGGCCTGATTTTGTTTTCTTTTTTTTTTTTTTCTATCAGCCAAAGTCGATGCAGCCAAAACTTCCCCTCCCGCCACTACCCGAGAATTCCCCTCCAAAATGGTTTTCAAAGCGTATTGGTCGATTTGGATACAAAGCCGGCGATCTGGTTTGAGAAGTGCCTATAAATACTCGAAATAATCATAAGAAAAAGTAGGGCTGAGACCATAAATAAGAGCTCATGAATACACATGGTGTATATATTGCGGGAGACAACCCGCAGGGCACCGCAGCCTGGTGATGGGGGCAGGCTCGAGGCGGGGGGAGCGTGGGAGACGGCCGGGACAGGAGAGGGGCGCTGGCCTGTGATGGGTCAGTAGTCGAGCTTGTTGTAGAGGTTGTAGAGGGGTAAGGCCGAGAGGTTGCTGCCAGGGTAGTAGAGCGGCGCGGGAAAGGCAAGCGAGCGCGGCACTGGCACGCGCAGCAGCGAGCTGTCCCGGAACAGCAGCGGCATGCTCACTAGAGTCTGCGCCGACGCGTGCGCCATATTGGCCGCCTCCAGTTCCGCCGAGAGCTGCCGCTTCCACTTGTTGCGGCGGTTTTGGAACCAAGTCTTGACCTGCGTCTCGGTGAGCTGCAAGCTGGAGGCGAGGCAGGCGCGTTCTGAGCTGCTCAGATAGCGCTTCATGTCGAACGTGGACTCCAGCTGATACACCTGGCTGCGCGAGAAGACCGTGCGCGTCTTCTTCTTGGTAGCGCCCGTCTGCCGCTCGGCGCCGCCGTCCCGCGGCCGTTCGGACCCGGGCGACGGCGAGCTCGCGGACAAGAGCCTCTCTTTCTCTTCCTTAAAGTCCTGGTGCGCAGGGGAGAGGAAAGGCGTGCGCTCCGAGCCCGCCGCCCCCGCGGCGCCGCTGCCCTTGGGGGGACCTACAGAACGACAACAGACATGAAGCCTATGGAGGTGCGGGAGCTTTGGGAACCCCCAGCTCTCGACTGGCGTGGAGGCTGGCAGGCGCCTGTAACCTGGTCTCATCAACTCCTTTCTCGGCTCCCTCACTGATACCCAGAGCCAGGCACGCTGGCCTTTAAAAACCAATAAGGTTAAAAACCAACAACTGAGTCTACAGTGTGGGGCTGGGGTCTCTGCGCTCCCTTCTTCGTGAAAGGACAGGTGGCAACGAGGGAAAGAGGCCTGAAAGCGGCGGGGGGGGAG